TTGCCTTCGTTGAGATCCCACAGCATGGCTTGGCCATCCTTCCCTCCAGAAGCACAGAGGGATCCACCTGGAGAGACAGTTACAGTGTTCAGGTAGCCTGTGTGGCCGACGTGATTGGTCTTCAGCTTGCAGTTTGCCAAGTTCCATACCTTGACCAGCTTGTCCCAGCCACAGGACACAATAATGGGATTGCTGCTATTGGGTGAAAATCGGACACAAGATACCCACTCCGAATGGCTCTCGTCCTGGACAGTATATTTGCATACACACAGAGTATTCCACAACTTGATAGTTTTATCTCGGGAGCCAGAAACAGTTTGCCAGTTGTCGGAGGAGAAGGCCACACTCAGCACATCCTTGGTATGTCCTACAAATCTGCGTGTGGTGGTACCCGTTGTGAGATCCCAAAGACGAAGAGTTCCATCCCAGGAGCCCGAGAGGGCAAATTGGCCATCTGGGGAGATGACCACGTCACTAACAAAGTGGGAATGACCCCAAAGAGCACGCTGCGGGATGCCATAGTTAGTCTCATCCCTCATCAGCTTCCACATGATGATGGTCTTATCTCGAGAGGCGGACAGTATCACGTCCGGGAACTGGGGAGTGGTTGCGATCTGAGTCACCCAGCCATTGTGGCCCTTGAGGGTGCCACGAAGTGTCATCTGCTCAGTCATGGCAGCGGCGAGTGTGGGTGTCGCCGCAGCGACAAGGACGGAATTGGATAGTTCAGAGAGACCAGCAACGCAACTGCTACCACCACGGCCCTGCAGAGGAAAAGAGCCTGAATCTTTTTTAATAGGCTGCAGCAAACCTGACCAACATTTGTCCTAGAGTGAAGCATTATCAGTATTATATTGGGCAATGGGCAAAACTTCCCTCTGCTCCAGATGAAAACACTGTTTTTCTCTCTCTTTTCTAAGACTCTTGGCTCTACAAACATCTTTGAAAATATACATCTGACCTAAAGCTTTCAGAGTCTCTGCTAAGAAGATGTGCAGAAATGTGGAAGACTTACAGAGAATTGTCTACCAACAATTTTAGTTGGGTTTTATAGGCAGCACCTGTATGTTAGGCATGACACTTATTTTTTGTTGTTGTTGTTAAAGATTTTATTTATTTATTTGACACAGAGAGAGAGCACAAGCAGGGGACGTGCCAGAAGAAGAGGGAGAAGCAGGCTCTCCACTGAGCAGGGAGCCCAATATTGGGCTCGATCCCAGGGTCCTGGGATCATGACCTAAGCTGAAGGCAGCCGCTTAACCGACTGAGCCACCCAGGCACCTCAGACATGACACTTCTTACATTTATTTTCTAGTCCAGTGCTCACACAGCTTTATGAAATACTGTATTAGTCGGTCTGCGATAAGAAAATACCACAGACTGGGTGCCTTAAACAACAGATATTTTCTCCTAGTTCTGGAGGCTGTAAGTCTAATTTCAAGGTGTTGGCGTGGTTACTTTCCACTGAAGCCCCTCTTCCTGGTTTTTAGATGGCTTCCTCCTCACGTGGCCTTTCCTCTGTTCCCGTGCATTCCTGGTGCCTCTTCTTCTTCTTATGAGGGCACCAGTTGTATGGATGAGAGACCTACCAGTATGAACTCATTTAACCTTAAATACCCTTTAAAAGTCCTATTTCCAGATACATTCACATTGAGGATTGAGGCTTCAACCTAAGAATGTTAAGGGACATAATTGAGTCCACAACAGATACTAAATGCTGTGCATTCCTTACCGTAACTATTTTTCAGGTGAGAAAACTGAAGCTTAGGGAGGGTAAGGCACCTGAACAAGATCACACAAGTCAAAGGGATGGAATGGGCTTTGAACTGAACTCCAGACTGACTCCAGCGCATGAGCTTAACCACTCTCCTACAGAGCTAGAGTGAATACATTTGTATTTCAGGGGAAGAAGTGATTTCTTAGCTTTTGAATCAGAACCACTGATCTTGTGAAAGAATATTACAGTATGAGCCACACAGTTCATTAGCCAGACTTTCTCCCTCCCCAACTCCTTCCTTTTTCACTCCCCTCCCTCCTTCCTATCACACAATCATCAGCATGTAGTTATTGAATGCTACTATGGCCAGGTGCCAAGGATCCATCAATCAACAAAATCAATTCCCTCACCTCATGAAAGGTGTATCTTTGGTATTGTGTGAAAGAACTTTTACTATTCCTCTTCACCTATTCCTAGTTTTTGATATTTATATTTTCTGCATAACTGAAATGGAAAAGGAACTAACAGTTACCAAGTATCAACTATATATTAACCATATCCACTTATATATTATTATTTCATTTAATAACTGATGGTTTATTAGCATAGATGGGAGACTTTCCCATCAGAAATCTTTAATTCTGATTGTACAAATGTGTGTGTGTATGTATATATGTATATATATGTATATATATATTTTGCTATTGACACTTTGCAAGTTCAAGTGTTTAGCTGTGATGATGTGGTTATGAAGAATGTACACACTTGTGTGTATCTATGTATGTGTATATTTGTATATTTTTCCCTTTTTGTGTCCGAGAATAGGTGGTCAGTGCAAAGACTGATTGGAAGTTATTACAACACAGACAGCTATCTTCAAGCTTACTGTCTTGGGTGGTAATGTTGGAATCAATCAGTTTAACACAGTTTACATAGGTTCAGGGAGGACAGCTAAGGATTGAGGGGTGTCAGATGGCATTGGTGATGAAGGGAGTTTGGGGGAATATTAAAATAGAACTCCAACCTGTACCAATATTGAAGTTATGTCCGAGCTTTGGGGAGCTCTTTCAGCCTGATTTCTTCTGGTTCCAGCCTGTTTTTTTCTAGCTATTGGCATCTGTGTAGGTTTTGTCTGTATATGATTTTCCTTGCAGTGTAAAAAAGGATTGTTTAAAGTGCACTCGAAAGAAGAACTTTTCTCAATTGAAAAAGTAAATAACTGTATTTTAAGATGTCTTTTCTACATTTATAAAACTATTTGGAGTCAAGACAGTGCATTAAAGCTCACATTTTTGTAAGGGTTGATCCCAACTGGTCTTTTTTTTTTTTTTTCCTTTGGGTTTTCTGGGGCACCATATTTTATTTATTTGAGCAGCTGTGATTTGGAATGCATGATTCACTGTTACTCTACTATTATAGTTCTACTCTCTTGAAATCTACTTTTTTACAGTCTGCAACTGGGAATTAACAAATTAACTTTGCTGTCACCAGATTGACAGGGATACAAAGAAAGATTTCTTAACACAGTCACTTTAAAGAACTATTCATGTCAATAAAAAGTGAAGTCATAATAGTCAATCTGTATGTTGTTATTTTTTTACTTTTGAGAGAGAGCGTGCATACATGTGTGATTTGGTGGGGGGGGTGGAGGGGCAGAGGGAGAGGGAGAGAGAATCTTAAAGGCTGTTTTGCCTTTATATATTCTATTACATTTTCTGGATTTACTATTATTATCTGTTGTTGTTTTTTCTAGATATGTTAAACTTTCATATCCATATACTGACTCATTAAAATTCCTGGCTGATGTGCTACAAGAGACTTTTGGCAAATAAGATGTTTAAAATTAAACCTCAGTCAATATGCATGACTGTAGCCAGAGTTCATTGTAACCAAAAGGAAGTTTTGTCAGAAAATAGTTGCAATAATTGAATTGCATTTTGTTGCAGTTATAAAACAAGCATGAAAGCACCGGTGTCCCAGTAGTTGAGAGTCTGAACTGTAAGCCTGGTGATGTAGCTTAGAGTACCCGTCACCGTGGGACCTTCTCCAAGTTGTTTGATCTCTCTGTTGCAGTCTCTTTATCTATAAAATAGATGTAATAATTGATCTACCTCATAGGGTTTCTATTGTAGTTAATAAAATAATATGGATAAAGCACCTAGTACGGTGTTAGGTACCAAAGAAATGAAAGGTAGCTTTTAATTACTAGTATATCTGGATTAGAGCCCCAGAGAGTGCCCTTGTTGGAATTCAATGAAATAAGTTGGATTCTCAGCTTTGCAGGTCCAGTAATTGATTTGTATCATTGCTCTTAGATTTAATCAGCTCACAGTCTTTGAGAGAAGGAATTGAACAAACTCATGAGTGACTAATGTAAAAGCCTCATTTATAAAAGTGACAGAATAATTATTTTGAGGCAAGTCGTGAGATGATTTTTTTTTTCCCTGCAGTCCCTTTTACCTGTAGTCCTCTCTACTTCTGATCTAGATTTTGGTCTCCCTGCCTCAGAAGAAAATCTCCAGTAGACCATGGAAGGAAAAAATATATATATATTAATAGCCTTTGAGTTTTGACTTCTAAAGCCCTGGCCTAAAGTCTAGGCACACAAGAAAATTTATTCAGTCAAGTCCTGTTTGTTGTGGTTGCTGGGTAAAGATGAGTATCCTCCTGGCTTGGGCAGAACAGAAGGGCTGGGGAAGATGGAGTAAATGTGGGTGTTGGTCTTTGAGGAAAAAAGCTCCCTGCCCTGCAGCATATTCCACAGCTGAATCTCCAAGAGGTGGTGATAAAAGCCCAAAATGATTTGGGGCTCCAAGAACAGTGAGTACCTGTGCTTTGCTTCCCAGGTGGGGATTACATAACATCCTGGGAAGGTTTGACACAATTTGAGTAGGGATGATAGTATATAGCATGGCATGAGGTGATAATGTAGGCCAAGAGAATTTGAGTTAACCTTACTGAGTTTCTTACGACACCATCAGTGGTTTGAAAAAGTTGCTGTTTCCAAGCCAGATTAAAGATGGCCATAAAGTCTTTTCTTCTTCCCATTGAGAGGCAGAATCTAATTCTCCTCCCTTCAAATGAAGGTTGGTCTTAGCCGCCCCCTAGAATGCAATAGAAGTGAGCTTCTGTGACTTTCAAGCTAGTTAACAAGTTGAGCAGCTTTCACTTGGCTCTCTTAGAATGCTGCCTTAGGGGAAAGCCAGCTGTCATGGAAGAAGTCTGACCACCCTGCTGGAGAGCCTACCTAGGACTGCCTGGATGGGGAGCAGGGACTAGCTAAGCTCAGCCAACCATCCATCCCCACCAGGACAACAGGCATGTGAGTGAAACTGTCTTGGACTTCCAAACCAGCCTAGCTACCAGCCAGATACCACCAAGTGTTCCCAGGGGAGGCAGAACACCCAGCCCAGCCCATGAAGATCTGACCTACAGGTCATGAACATAATAAAATTATTGTTGTAAGTTTTGGGTGGTTTTCTCTACCACAACAGATAACCAGTGCACAGCTCTTCAGATGCCTTCAGAATTGTGTAGAAGTTGGTAGAGAGAGTTGTCTAATTTTGATCTGAAGAAGCCATTTGGTCAGAGAAGAATTCATAGGCTAATTTGTGTGGAGATGATTATGAAATCCTTTCCTTCAAAAGACCTCACAGAGAGGAACATCTGTTCCAAAATACTGACAGGAAAACCCCACTTATTTGCTCATTAGTAGTGGACATTAGTGTGGACAAATGTTGATGGAGAAGAAACTTTAATACTGCCTTGATTTGGAGTTCTATAACATGGCGGCTCTGCCAGCCATCCATTCTCTAAATCTCAGTTGCTACAAGCAAAGATGAGGGGAGGGGAAGTTGGGGAGCCTTGATTTCAGTGGGAAAATCTTCCTATGACAGAGGAACCCATCATTTGACTAAACTATACCTTGAAGTGACTAAGTTGGTTATTAGCCACTAGAAAAATGGAGTTTAAGGATAGGAATTAAGTACAGTAATGGAAAAATGAAAA